GGGCTTTTTCCTATAGTAGAGGGACCAAAAAGGGTATTTAACCTACCAAATTAGCCAGTTATTTTCCCCCTTCCCGCAATTCCCATGTTAAAAAAAAAAAAAGAAAGAAATAGCCAGTCAATTGCTTTAGTGATATTTCATGATAAATATTTATGATAATTTATTCATTATTAAAATAATTAATCAATTACTCGATGCTGATATTTTATATTAATAAAATTTATTTAATTAGTTTATGGTGATATTTCATATTAATAAAGCATACTTAATATAAGAGTAATTAGACAAATACATTGAGATGAAAGTTAACTCATCTCGTGTATTTGTCTTATTATTCTTATATTAATGAGCAGATGAAAAAGGACAACTTATCTATATAAAGTACTCGAACAGCATACTAACTTCCGATGTGGGAATTTATGGACCCAAAACTTTCTAACCGGGTGTCCCATCTCCATTGTTTCTTCTATAATCTCAGGAAATTTATGATTTTGATAGCATTTCTGGGTTGAGTGGTTGTTTATTGATTCATTTCCGGATCATCCGTGGGGGAAAGGAGACGCGTTGTGTTATGGTTTGGGAATGGGAATAAGAAACTTGGGTTCTTCTTCTTCTTCAGCTGGAGCTATGACCCAGAAGAACAGGGATAAACCCAAGCGGCTTTATCAAGTTTGGAAGGGAAGCAATGTAAGTTCTGATAAACTCATCTTCTGTCTCTTTCTTTTTTGATTATGTTGTGTTGTATTTGCAATTTGTATATGGAGATTATGATCATCGGTTCTGGTTATTTATTTCAATTTCATTTTCTTGATAAAGGGTTTTGCCTTTTAGTTGGCACTTGGCAGATTTTTGAATGAATATTGTTCTTCTGTTAATGGTGAAACTTGTTCTTGTTTTAAATTTCGTGTCACGGTTGAAGTGTTACCTGTCTTACTCTGCTTACTTTGGGACTTTTGGTCGGAGTCCACCAAAATAGTGGATAATTCAAAACCCCATGGATTCC